TTTTTCTCATAACAAATCAGTTGAATCAGTGTTTCAGCTTGTTTTTTTAGCGAAACGAACGGGACCTTCGTGTCACTTCGGATGGTGACTTCTAAACGTGCAAGTGCAAGGCATGTCGAGTACTACTGCGTGCCGTAGTCTTTGCTTCAACCAAAGCATGATCTGTGGCACCGACATGTCTTCCGTATATCCTTAGAATATGTTTATTAGTTTTCTTTGTCCACTCGTGATGTATAAAAAATAGTGTTCTAGCTAAGGCATTAAGCGATAGTCCCTCCTCAAACAACTAATAGCAGGATAAATTAGACTATAGGGGCTAAATTGTATATACGAACAAATAACTTGACCCTCTAGTAGCTATATATATCAGGACATATCGGCAACTATGATGGGAGATTTCAAACCTTGTAAAATATATATTGGCCCCTTTCGGCTTGCTGAATCTTGGCTGAAACTGACTGAAAACACTGTTCTGGATGAATTGTTGTGAGAGAAAAATACTGTTCCGGCTGAAAAAACAAGTCGAATATGGGGTAAGCCGAACGGGACTATTGTAGGTATCCTTTTTACGAAAGTTTCGATGATTTCTCATAATCTATTGAGTAATTAGATGAGATATAGTAAAGAAATACTAGGAAATTGTACTGTAGCATTATATATTGGTACCGTACCACCTCAAATATGGTCCAAATATAGGCCAAACCACGTGGCCCATCATGCCAAGATCCTAGTCATATAGCACGACACGACCCTCATGTTCATATTATGCCGTTCTTTAGGGCCCTCAAATAACACAGTCCAAACCCTAGCTCTTCTTATATTATGTATACACAAGCATGTTTGCTTCGGTTAGATCCTAAGAAGTTTATGGTTAACGGCGATGTCTGTGGTCGTTTCATCGCTCGGGACGCTGGAGAGACTAAAAAGAATAAAAATCTAGTTTCTTCACAAGTCAAATAATTTTAAATTACACTAAATATATGAAAATATTAATATTTATGATATATAATAAATATCACTCGATTAATTATGAAATATATTTCTACTAAATCTTTTTACAGATACAAATGTTGACATTATTTTTTAGAAGTTTATTCAAATTTGAGATTTTTTGACTTATGAGATTTCTATTTCTTTAATAGATGGAGTAATAAAATTCCCAGCTTTACGTACATCCTCGAACAATGTCACGACCTGATCCGTGCCATCGCGTCACCGAATCGTGTTCGCCATATCATATGGGATAAAAAAACTTTTTTTATTAAAGGGATAAAAATCCTACCTTTGCGTACATCCTCCTCGAACAATGGCACGACTGATCCCTTCGCGTGAATTAGGGCCATATTTTTACATGTCAGACTGTCATAGCTTAAGGCGGAAAACGTGCATCAGAGAAAGGTTTTTCCAAATCATTCTCGAACAAAACTAAAACTAGGGCGTTCGAAAACTTTTTTTCATGCCTTAATACAATAGTTTACGCAGGAAAACGACGGCGACGGACGACTCGTTGACACCTGACGGCCACCCCCGCGCCATGACTGGTGACTCAGCTCGCGACGAACCGAATCCGCAGCCACGTAGTCCCACTCCCACGACGGCAACTGCCAAAACTAGTACTGGAGTAGAAGGCAGTAGCCTGATCTTCGGGAGACCCCCGAAGGAAAGCCAAAGCGGCGGAACGAGCCAGACAGACGGATCGAGACCCACCTCTCCCGGAGTCCGTCCCGCTCCCGCACCGCCTTTCCGCCGAGTAACAAGGCAAGAATCCCGCGGCGAGGGTCGGCGATTCCGGATGGCCGCCGCGGCCGCAGCGTCCTCGGTGGTGAAGCGTGCCGCCGCAGCCGCCGGCGCTTCCTCGCGGGGCCTGCTCCTCGCGCGCGCCTTCGCCTCGGGAGTTGGCGGCGGTGGTGGCGAGAAGGCCAAGCGGGTGCTGGTGCCGGTGGCCGCCGGCACGGAGCCCATCGAGGCGGCGGCCACCGCCGACGTCCTCAACCGCGCCGGCGCGCGGGTCACCGTCGCCACCGCCGACCCGCCCGGGGACGACGGCCTCGTCGTGCAGGCCGCCTACGGCGTCAAGCTCGTCGCCGACGGCCGCGTCGCCGACCTGCAGGGGGAGTCCTTCGACCTCATCGCCCTGCCGGTGCGTACGCGTCCCCCCTCCTTGGTCACTGTCACCATGCCGTCCGACAGTCTCGGCCCTGTCACGCACGCTCTCAGCTTGCCTCGCCCTCCTCTCACGCATTTGCTTCCTCGCCGTTTCGCGCTGATGGTCAGTGGATAAATTTGTGTGCTGTAGGGAGGAATGCCTGGATCAGTTGGCCTCAGAGATTGCAAAGCGCTCGAGAAGATGGTCAAGACCCACGCCGAGAATGGGGGCCTCTACGGCGCCATCTGCGCTGCGCCGGCGGTGACGCTGGCTTATTGGGGCATGCTCAAAGGCTTAAAGGTGCGACATTGATCGGCATTCTGTCATTCTGTGCGGTGGTTCTGCTTGGAATTATGTACCGCGCTGAGAAACTGGCGGCTTGTTTTGTTATTCCAGGCGACCTGTTATCCGTCGTTCATGGAGAAGTTCACTGCAGAGGTGATCCCTGTGGACTCGAGGGTTGTGGTTGACAGAAATGCCGTCACCAGCCAGGGTCCAGGAACAGCGATCGAGTTTGGTCTTGCTTTGGTGGAGAAGCTATATGGCAAAGAGAAGATGGAGGAGGTTGCTGGGCCTTTGGTAAGCTACATTGCAAGCCATGACACTCATCTGTCTCTTTGCTATGTTAAGAACATGGGGATTCCAAATAGCTGATTGTATTCCTTAGTGGTTATTGTTCACAAGGAAGCTGAAATTTGCTAAATTTTATCTCTAGTTATTTTGTATCAAGCAATTGTGTTACTGATCTGTGGCTTCATCCAACAAGTTACAGTGTTGGCCACATTAGAATTTTGTTTAAATCTGACATGATCTACTACACAAGTACTTTCGTTACCTGATGATTGCGCAATTGTTATCCTTCAGTACTTGCGCCCTCAACATGGAGCTGAATATACCATAGAAGAGCTTAATTCAGTTGAATGGAAATGTGGTAGCACACCTCAGGTATGAGATGGAACTGAATTTCATCTGGAAACAAAGAAAAAGATCGTATCCATTCATTTAGGCTACTTTCTCATTTTCTTCCTCATGGAATTCATGTGATTTATATCATTGCTTCTTATAAGAGTAACTTATTGCAGCCTGCCTTAACAATATAGCAATCTGCCTTAAAACTGTTACTAGTAATCAGTTATTGGTGATTACTGAGTCATAGGAATGTGGAAAAACTTTTGCAGTAATATGGGAGGGGCAACTTTTTCTTCTTCCTACCTTTTTGAGATGGAGGCGCACAAACTTGTGTACATAGTAGGATAGTGACTAAGAACAACGACATTCATGAACCAGTTTTTCTTTTTGGTATAAAGTCATAAAGAAGACGACCATATGACGCATATATGTTACATGATGCTATTTATATTCTGGATACCCCGCTCAGGAGCTCTGCCCTTCATTCCCTTCATTAACAGAGGAGAGTTTTCAGCAGGAACCAGTCTAGTCGTGTTTCTAGTTTTCTTCCTGTGGTGCCCCTGTGATCCTGAAACCAGCTGGTTGATTGTGTTCGGGTGGTGCTGTTTCAGCCTCACCTTTGTCTGTATACCTCTTTTCTCTCTCAATGAAATGACACGCGATGTGTCGTTAATCCTAATGTTTTCCAATTATGGTGTATTAACCTGAACTTTTTAATATTTGCTGATGCTTTTCCCTTTTATGTGTCTCTAGGTTCTTGTTCCAGTCGCTAATGGTTCAGAGGAAATTGAAGCTGTCAATTTGATAGATGTGTTGCGTAGAGCAGGAGCAAATGTTATTGTTGCATCGGTGGAGGAGAAGTTACAAATTGTGACCCGTCGCCATAAGTTTAATCTAATTGCTGATATGATGTTGGATGAAGCCACTGAAATGCAATTTGATTTGATTGTCATGCCGGTATGTGGCTGCTGAGTTAATTTTCCATTAACGGGGTATAACTCTTTAAGGGTCTCTCACTGACAAAAGCATTTTATCTGTAAACAGGGAGGTTTGCAAGGTGCTCAGAAGTTTGCTAGTACAAAGAAACTTGTTGACTTACTCAAGAAACAGGCAGAATCAAATAAACCATATGGTGCAATATGTGCCTCTCCAGCTCATGTGCTTCAGCCGCACGGTTTACTGAAGGTACTTTCCTCTGCCCCAATGAACATATGCACTTGTTAGCATTAGTCCTATCTTATATGTTCAGTTCAATACCATCGACATTAATGCAGAAAACCTGGAACAAGACTTATAGTTTCAGTGAAACGGCATTAGTGTATGAACAAAAAGCTGCGAGGTGTATTAACTTTGAACTACCTGTGTCATTGTAGGGCAAGAAGGCGACAGCATTTCCACCTATGTTACACCTGCTCACAGATCAGAGTGCATGTGAGCATAGGGTTGTTGTAGATGGTAACCTTATCACCAGTAGAGCCCCAGGCACTGCGACAGAGTTCGCCCTAGCCATTGTTGAAAAACTGTTTGGTCGAGATAAAGCTGTCAGTATAGCAAAGGAGTTGATCTTTATGTGATATTGCACTGATCTGGTGGTGTGAGAAGTATAATAATGTGGATAAACATACCAGAAACCTGTTCTGTCTCTATGCCTGAACTGTTAATAGCTGCCTGAGGATTTCAGTTGAATGGTACTATTACATCACACTGTAAACTGTGAGCCAAGAATGTACAAGCTTGTGCGGACCATTTCTGTTCCCTATAATACAAAGATATGCAGCTCTCCTACGTGTTCGAGAGAGAAAAAAAAAAACTTGTAAATACTTGTCCTGTCTGTTCAAAGAAACACTAAGTGGAGGTGCTGCCGTCCCAACACCCACCCGCTCCGCCTCTGATCATTATGGATTTACACGAAGTTAAGAAGCTGTTTGGTCAATCAAGAGAGCACAGGACAATGGCAGAATCTGGTCCTCATGTCATGATAAACTGTACTGTAAGCTATTGATTTGATAAGCATTGTACTCTTTCCCAATGTACGAACTCTTATCCTCGTTAGTACAGCTCTTCTTTTTTGTTGCTGTTATGTGCAGTTTTTAGATGTAGCATTCAGATAGGGAAAACAAGAACGAATATGTACAAGAAGTCAAAGTATACTCTTCAGAGCATTCTGTTTAGCTTGTCCCTGAAATGTCATTTCTTGACTTGGAATCCATTGCATCCTCCAGAATTCTATAGAAAAGCTTAGGTGGGTTATGATTATGATTGTCACTTTCGCATCAGGAATACTAGTTTGTGGATGGAAATAACATAATCATAAAGCTATAGGAAAGTAGCATCTTTCCCTTTTGTCCTGAGTGAGAGCGATAAGTGGCTGCAGTCTGCGGATCACTTTTGCTTTGGCGAGTAGAAGAAATTGTGGTGTTCTAACCAATCTATGATTAGATTCCTGCAATAGATGCCTGTCCCATTCATATATTGCCTTGAAGTGGATGAGGGTTCTCTGTCGCACTATATGATAACCCTCCAGTTGGTTGTAACTGCATATCACTTGCACTTTATATGTTGTTTAGCATCCCTCTGAGTTCAGATCAGCATAACTTTGGCTAGTAAAGATTTGTCCCTTCTACCTTTCATGAAATGGCCTAGTTTCAAGGTGTTTTTAGCACTGAATCTGTGGAGAAAGTAGGTTGTGAAAAAGGCAGTAATAGTTAAGTAACTGTTGGAAACTTCATAGAAACTTCGTTATCGATATGTTTACTCAGCACTTGTCTATTGTTGCTTACTTGCTTTCCCATATCATGTTGACAACTGACCAGAGGATAGTTTTAGCTCTACTGCTAGTGCTTCAGCATTATGGGGCAGAAGCTTATGTATTTATATTCTGATCTGAATTCCCTTTTTGTTCAAGTGCATTGGTCCTTCCACTTTGCCTATCGCTGCTTCGCATATCTGTATCATACTATAATGTATCATGCACACATTAGTGATGAAATTGACCACATAAATGCTGCTGACTCACCCTTTTTTTTTTGCGGCGACCAATATCAAATATTTTTTATTTCTCAAAATTTCCATTGTTAGACGGGTTTCTCTCTCTCCTTTCATGTTAAGACATTTGATTTTAAAATCACTTATTAATAAAAAAATATTTATCACTGCGCTGGAAAGAGATATTGAGTACTGCAGTTCGTGAGTTACAATAATACAAAAAAAAACTTCACTCTTTTATAATCTGTCAATGAAGAATAAGACATACTCTTACCAAGACCGCCCCTGAAATTATGAAATGGAAAAAACGCAAGGCTCTCCGAGCTCCAGGTGTTCAAGATTGCTAACCCTTGTTGCTATCACCTTTGAGCTGTATAACCAATAACTTTTGCTTCCTTTGATATGAACTATCATCTATTGAAGAATGCAAGCAACATCTAAATGTTCAATCACTAATGTATCTATTCTAATTTGCAATAAATAACCTTTCTGATTAATTCTAAATATTGACGTCCAACGCTTAACATTTTCCAAGAGGACCAATGATATATGTTTTAGGGCAGATGGTGACATCTGCTTCATTGTATGATGTGTCCCAGCATCAAAGAATGGGTTGGGAACGTCTCTGTTTGAATGCAAGACAACATCCTAAATATTCTTGAAGTCATCAAACTAAACGTATCTGAATTATCTAATCTAGACGACTTGAGCACAACTATATTAGAGCCTCCAATAAATAACTCTTCAAAGACAGTGATTGATAAACTATCTAAATATATGCGACTAAAGTTTTACTAGTGTGTTGCTATCTCTACCAAGTGGGTTCCTAGTAATGCAAAGTTATTATGGCACAAAAGGAGTAATATTTTTTAATTCTAAATATTGACGTCCAACGCTTAACATTTTCCAAGAGGACCAATGATATATGTTTTAGGGCAGACTGTAACTCCATGACATCTGCCTTCATTGTCTGATGTGTCCCAGCATCCCGCCGTCTTCAATATCAAGGTTGGGAAGGTCTCTGTTTGTTAAATTGTAAAGCCAAGGACAGATGTTGGCATCCATGAACTATTGGCCTATAAAGTATTACGAATCATCACTATGCAAACTGGAGATCATTAAAAAACGTCATGTCAATGAATTATTTATGAGCTATGAAGACGACTTGGGAAACACAATTGTATATTAGTCACGAGAGAGCCAAGGAGGACGGTTGAAATCCCGTCGTAATTTCACTGTCAAGATACCTAGAGCTGTGTTGCCGGATGATGAACGTGTAATCGGTTCGTCCGGTCATTTTACTTGTTAATAAAGAAAAAAAAAGACTTGGTTCCTATCTTCATGCTTGGACTTGCTTGATATCTTGAGTCTTCTTCTTAAGGGCATATAAAGTAGGGTATGCAGGTGTTGTTGGTTGAACTACTGGACCCTATTAAACTATAAAACAATCATATCATTAGTCCAATTTTGTCATCAAACACCAAAATCCAAAATAAATGGGCCTAGGGTCCATTTTCCTTACAATCTCCTCTTTTTTGTGATTGATGACAGAACGACCAAAACAAGTAAATAATAAAAATTTGGAATTTAAAAACTATCTACTTACTAAAATGCGATGCAAGAGGCAAGGTCATATGATGTTAAAAAATACTATTTGTAAGACTAAAAGATATCACTTGAAAACTTATCTTGCCCTTGCAAATGTCCCTATGTGGTATTATGGATTTAAGCCTTGCTTTTGATCCTACAAATTCTCCCAATTACATAGGCTAATCCATAATCCACTATCCTCCATTTCTCGGACCACTACCACTTGTAGATTATTATGATATAGCTTTTGGTCCTACAAATTAGTGCTTGCTTTTAGTCCTCTAAATTCTCCCCTTTTGGAATTAAACACCATAAAGAACGATATTAGTAGCACAAGGGATGGTCAAGCTGGTCATCAAACACCAAAATCTAAAGTAAATAAACCTAGGATCCATTTTCCTTACAGCATAAAAGTATATGCAGTTGGTTGAACTACTGGAGCAATACATATATTTTATTGTGTTTTTGCTAGAAGAAACTACCCAAATAGCATGCTCTCCAAAAAGTCCGGCGGAGACATGGAAGAAAAATGCAGGAAATTCACAAGGGTACATCAACAGATGCATCTTGTTGTGCTGATCCTGTTATTTGGATGCAAGACTGTGACCCAAGAAGGCATGAGATCGTTTCCCTCTGAAAATCTGTGAAGACTTTTGCAGTAAAATTGGACTTGAAAAATACTTTCAAGGATTGATATGAAGCAGACTCCTGAGGACTCATTTTATATTGAAACTACATCCTAGAAATTCCAGAAACGATCTCCCTTTATTTAAGATAAATTTGCCTCTAGTTTACAGGTTATCTCCTCAGAGACACATTGGCTATATACATGGGTTGTTCTCTAGAAGCTGGCCTTGCAAGATTTGGTTTTCTGGCATTTGGAACAGGTGGGCCAAGATTATCTTCTCCCGCCATGCATAAAACAACTTGCACTTTGGAATAGATGGACTGCATCTTTTATCTTGCATTTTCTGTTACAGTTATGGACAATGGCTCTTTCTAAATATATTGGCATCGATTTCATATGTTACATCATCATCATCCATGCTGCAGTGTACACTGTACTTGAGTCACTGCACAAGTTGCATTAGCTCATCAGCTCTAGGTCCTGACGTCAGATTAAGGACATAATGATCGAACAATTTGCAATTGTTCTTGTCTACTGAAGGTGTCACTACGTCAGGGATAGGTGGGAAATTTTGAACTTGCCAAGGTGTCGATACGTCTGGCACTTTTTTCGAAATGCAGGTTGCTTTAATGTTTTCTAAGTTAAATTTATCTACTTTAATCAAATTATAGGAAAATTCACCAGCAAGTACGATGTCAATTTATTTGATGCAACATGAAGTATGTCTTGATAGCGCATTTATTTGGTATTGGAGGTGTGTGTACTGTGTGTGTTATGGGTAAAGTCCAAATTTCAACCTCTAACTTGCTCGACTGTCTGATTTTCAACCATAAACTATAAAACCAGATGATGGACACCCTTCAATTATTGAAACCATTGGATAAATTTGGTCCTCTAACTACTAACTAGTTTTAATGGTGGTTTCCTATTTTTCTGAAAATAATAAAGGTTTGATTTATTCTCTAAAATTTTGTAACTAATCTATTCTAAATCAAATAAATATACAATTAGTGCCAATTACTTTATAAAAATATAATTTGCCTATTTTGGTGATCTATTTAGAGTTGTTTGAAATTTATTTATTTGTATTCTTATTGTTTTATTGCTTATAGTCGTGCTTATTATTTATTCAAATCATCATTTTGCACTATATAAGACTTGGAGATTGACCAAGATGATCTAGCAGACTATGAGTATATAGAAAGACGTGGAAGATGCTACAACCCTATAAATACCATGCTTGTATAGATCCTATTCAAGCATTGCATGGCTAGCGCTTTTACTTTATGTTGATTGTCTGATTAGATTATAGGTTTCAAACAAGATACTAATGTCTCAAAAACCATGCAATCAACTAGTTATGGAATCAACATAAGCAGAGGACAAAATGATAATTTAAATTAAACTATAGGGCCGACTACAAACAGCAAAACACTAGAACACATGAATGAATAAGATTAAAAAAAAACTCCAAATAGAGCACCAGCATGTAGATATCATTTTCCTGATTTAAGATAAATTAGTTATGGATTTTTAGAGATTAAATTAGTTTTTATTATTTTTCGAAATTTAAAACCCATCTTTAAAAAATATCTAGAGAATTAAATTTATTCTGTTTCAATAGTTGAAAAGCGTTAGGTAGCCTGATCTCGTAATTCAGGATTAAAAAAATCAAACTACAATGCAAGTTGTAGGTTGGAAATTGACTTGGCCTAAGTTATTAGAAAACAAAACTAAAACCATCCCCATCTTGGAACGGAGAGGGAGTACAACAAAGTCAAATTGGCATTTGTTTCGAATGCTACATCATCCATGTTGTTGTACTTAAGTCCCTGAACAAGTTGCATTAGCACTTCAACTCTGAGTTCGGGCGTTGGATTAGCCAATTCCAGATTAGCGAACGATTTGTCTATGGCGACGTGTACGGACTCGCAAGATGGCAATCCATCTTCCTTTCTTCCTACGCCCTGGAATTTTCTTTGTTTTCTCGATTTATCACTTCTTTCTCTTTGATTTTATCTTTCTTCTCTCTATCCTTTGCATTTTATTTTCTCACCTCTTTTTTTCTCCTTTCATTTTTTCTTTCCTTCTTTTTTTATATTAATCTACCCATTTTTATTCTATATTCTGTGAACAGATTTTTTAAGATCGAGAAATTTGTCTAGAACATAAGTTGTGCATAGTGTTTTTGGAAGACATTGAACAATAAAAGCTTATGTGTATAAGTTATTCGAAAAAATTATTATGTAAAGTCGTGCTATAAAAATTATCTTGAAAAATTATAAATTTGTTGACTAATAGTTATGAACAAAATTTGAGTTTTAAAGGTTACGTAAAAGTTTTCATAATAAGTTGTCTATAAATTAATATAAAAAATATTAAAAAGTTATGAACAGAAGTTGTGGTAGTAAGTTATGTCGCACAAAATACTTTGCATAAAGTTATGAATCGTAACTTTCCAAAACTTAAAAGTTGTGTAAAGATATTTTCTAGAAAAGGAAAATCATAGGATTATCTCATCGTTTGTTGGATTCTAAAGGCCTGTTTAGAACGTAGAAACTTTACAGAAATAGTGCAGGAATCTCAAAGGAATCGGTTTAATTTCATAGAAAAAAAATGTAGGAACACGAAAATTTTCATATATTCTAAACACGCCCTAATCTGGCGAACGTCGGCTAATCAGTGGAGTCGGTCATATTAGGATGACCAAATGATCGAAGAACCTGCTATCACACACACAAAAATCGTAGGAACATGAAGAAATTCCCGCGGCGCTATCCGGAAGGTGAAAGTAACCAAAAAAAAGGTGCAAGGAGGCCAAGCAAGCAAACCAAAAGCAAACCCCGCAAGCAACATAGAAAATGTGCAACGACTAGTCCTTATCCTCTGCAGCCCTGTTCGCTTGTCTTATAATCTATATTTTTCAGCTTGTTTTTTCAGCTAGAACAGTATTTTCTCTCTCACAACAAATCAGCCGGAACAATGTTTCAGCTTGTTTTTTCAGCGAAACGAACGAGGCATACGTCAATCGCGGAAAAACAATCTCAAAATCAGACAAGAACACTCAACACACAAGACACATACATATATTCTCCCTCGCTCTCAAACCCTTTTCCACTCACGAAGAGCAGAGCTATTGCTAGAGCTGGTCGTCTTCCTCCTTCCTCTAGGCTGTAGAGCATTCTGACGAGAGCTCAGCTTTGCCTTAGTCTTGTCATCGCAGAAGGCAGAAACACGAGTTCCTGAGAGCCACAAACCAAAGACACCAATCACCAAGAGCTATAGCTACACGGTGAGGGAAAGATCACACATATCGCCTGCATCTGCGTGCATATATCAGAAGATGACCCCTTTCATAAAGATGAAACCTTCCCTCCACTAGAAGCTCCGGAAGGACGCAACAAGCAAGCTCACCAAAGCCACCAATGGATCAGCGACGCGTCACGGCAAGGCTCGGCAGCAAGGCGAGCTCGGAGCGGAGGATGCTGCGACGCGTGAGGCTCCCCTTCTGGTCCTGCCCTCCAAACCGGCCTCCAGGCACCTGAGCGCCCCAGCTGGTCTCGTGCTCCCCTCCCCACCGCCTCCCTCCTCTTTCTTTCTTGGGTGTTCTTCACTCAGCTCTCGGATCTCCAAGCCTGCCTGCCTGCCTGTCTGCCTGCCTGCTGCTGTCAGTCCCCTTCCCTACTAGAAGACATGGCTCTGCTTTTCGTGTGATCTCGTCGCGAGCCTGTCTACCGGTGCCGGTGCCGGTGCCGGTGCCTCCCTTGGGAGAAGAGCTCCTGTCTGGCCCGTGTTCTTGGGAACCAGGGCCTTGGTGCTGCTGCCTCGCTGCTGTTCCTTGTCCAAGCTTGGGAAACAAAGGCGCGCTTGGACTTTGCTGCCTCCCATCCTCCCGTCTCGTGTGTGAAACATTCTGGAGGCGCGTTCTTGGCCCTTGTGGCCGCAACTTCTTGGATCCAAGAGCTGTCCTGTCCCTGCCGATCACCTGCCCTGATCCATCGGAAAAGGCAACTGCTCTTGCGTGCTTGGCACCTGCCGAGTTCGTTATATAGTACGAAGTACTAGTTGCCAGCTGCACTGCTATGTTCTTGTGCCTCGTGGATATCGTCGTCGTCGTCGTGGTCATCCTGGAAGCTTTTCACGACGACATGGATATGGGCTCCGTCCCCTTCGTCGACGCCGGGCTCCTCGACGCGTTCTACGGCGGTGGCCATGGACACAACGACTACGGGCTTTTTAGCCAGCAGCTGGGAGCGTCGTCGACGTCGCCTGTCGTCTTGGACGGCGGCGGGCTGCTGGACGCTGCGGCCTCCACGGAGGAGGCGCCGAAGAGGAAGGGAGACCACCTCCGGGACGACAAGGCGGCGATGGCCCTCAAGAACCACAGCGAGGTGGAGCGGCGCCGGAGGGAGAGGATCAACGCGCACCTCGCCACGCTCCGGACCATGGTGCCCTGCTCCGACAAGGTCAGTGCCTCTGTCTCTTCCTCGTGTAGATAGCTTAGTAACTTGTACCAGTGCATGGGCGTTCTAGGTGCCGATACGGTGGCGGGGGTCGTTGCACCGGCGCGCCGGTCTGCCCGTCCGCCGGCCGTTGCCAGCGGCGCGCCGTGCCGCGCCGGCGAAGGTGACGCGGCTTGGCAGTGCAGCAAACTTGGTCACCGACTCGCCGTGGTGGAGACTGGGCCGAAGCCCAGTCGAGGAAAGGCCCAACTATATCTGGCTCTAGGCCCAGTTCTACCTTTATTGTCAGATAGCCCATACCCCGAAGCTGAGGCCCAACTCTGTACCTGGCATGCATGCAGATGGACAAGGCCGCGCTGCTGGCGGAGGTGATAACCCACGTCAAGAAGCTCAAGGCCACGGCGGCGCGCATCCGCGACCACTGCGCCGTCCCGGCCGACGCGGACGACGTCGCCGTCGAGCTGGTCCAGGGCGCGCCTCCATCGACGACCGGCGGCGTCCTCGTCAGGGCGACGCTCAGCTGCGACGACGGCGCCGACGTGTTCGCGGACGTCAAGCAGGCGCTGCGGCCGCTGCGGCTCAGCGTCGTCGGCTCCGAGGTCACCACGCTGGGCGGCCGCGGCCGCTTCACCTTCCTCATCATGTCGTCGTTGTCGTCGTGCGGAAACGGCGATGTGGGCGCCGTCGTCGAGTCGGTGCACCAGGCGCTCCAGTCCGTCCTCGACAGGGCCAACTCCGCGCTCGAGTTCGCGCCCAGGGCGTCGCTTCTCAACAAGCGCCGGAGGGTCTCCACCTTCGAGTCCTCCAGTTGCTCTTCTTGAACCTTGACCGATCGGATGATTCATTCAGAGAAGACGAAGACGTACGTGCAAGCAAGCGTCAGGAGTTAGGTTATCCTCCATGAACCGAAAGATATTCGTCGTGTGTTCTCCTGAACTTACCACTGGCTAGGTAAAGAAGTTGCTGCACTGATTTATTTACTACTGCTACCACGCACGGAAACTGCATGATGAAGAGTGATTCCCTGGACACACTGATTTACAGTGATTGTATTGTTTACCTTTTACTTGTTTTGTACGAACATTTTGATCCCTGCATGCTTAATTACTACTACGACTACTTTGGAAGAGGATTATTACTCCCAGTGTAATTTAAATTTAGGTCATGTTCGGCTAGCTGAAAAAATGGCTGATGCTGATTTGTTGTGAGAGAAAAACACTATTATTTCGTTGAAAAGGTACGGTTGATAAATTCAAGTGAACATGGCCTTAATTACGGGCTAGCTGGCCTGGCCCCTTTGTATGCTAATTGCAGGTGCAGCTTTTTACTCGATGGGTTGTCGTTGCTCACTTCCACGTAGATGCAGATTCAGATTTATGATGCCATGTTCGCTTGGCTTATAAGTCGTACTTTTTCAGCCAACTAATAGTATTTTTTTTTCACAATAAATCAGTTAATAGTACTTTCAGCCATGGTTTATCAGCCAAGCGATATGGGCTTACTTATTATTTCCATGCATGCATGTGCAGAAGTTACTAACTCAGATTAATGCTGACCTGCTGGTGAGAGTCAGAGAGTGAGAGTGAGAGCTCGATCAGTCCAGCTACCGAGCTGATCAGCAATAATAGCTGAAGACTCGTACGCGTTGTTAGAACGATCGATGATGATGTTGGTTTTCAAATTTGAATCTCCCAAACATGCATATATATCTCTGACCAATGCAAATCTCTCGGGCTGTGCCACAGGTGTTGATCGATTTTCAAATTCGAATATTGCAAACAACTGGTTACCATCTGAAACACTGCTGGTGCACTGATAATTAACATTCATTCATGCACCTTTATTATACTGAATGTTGCTGCAAACAGTAGACCTATGAATCAGAAAAGAACCTGTATATATACGGAGACGTCGAACGTTGCATTGAGGGTATGTACGTAAGAATAGGATTGTAGGAATATAATCGAACAGTGGTCTCTACTGTGGCCTCCACGAGAGACTGAGAGCTGCTGATGAGGCCATGCTGCATGACAAGGATCTCTGAGATCTCCAGAGAATCACCTGTCCCCTTGCATATGCATTGTAAAATGTAAATAATAAATACTCCTACATCAGCGTTCCAAGATGCATGCAGGAGCTAGCGATAAGAGAGATTCCCATCATTCCATGTGTTGCAACAGTCAAATCCACAGAGCATGCATGCAGCAGGCAGCAGCAGCAGATCGAATCTGCTGGGCCGGGCGGGCGACGCAGACGACCCTTAGCTTGACCCGTTCTAGGAATCTCTCTTGTATCGCTGGCGGTTAACCTCGTGCAAGCACTATTAAACTCGGGTCTAGGTACTGTTGGCATCTGAAAGAGCATGCATGCATGAACATGAGGTCCATCCATCGTCTATACCAATCAGTTCATCAGGCTCTCTCCCTGCTAGCTACTTCAAGTGTGGTCTCGACTCTCAACTCTCATTGCAAGCTGCTGCTCTCAGCCGATGAGAATACATACGTACGCCTATCTACTGTTGAGTGTTCATAGCCTACATCATGTTTGCATTGGCCCACAGTGAGGATCACGAGCTTCTGCATGAGGTAAAATGAAAAGGTAGATGGAAAATAAAGGCACGTTTAATTTGTACGCGTATGTAGCTTAGAGGATTAGAGGCAGCTTCACCAGCTAGTAAAGGCTTGGTAAATGGTACTGTTAGCTAGCAGTAAACAACAAACAATTTGGCGATATTTCTCTTGAGAATTGAATAACATATCCTACGTACCGCTGGACGAATAAGAAAATGGTGTGGAAGGGAATGAGTTGGACTAGGTTCTTTTTCAGATCCCCAAGGATGAGTAGAGGTAGAGGTCGTAATAATATAATGCAGAGCGCAGCAGGGTTAGCCAGCTGCTGATCCCAAAGAATGAGCAATAAACTATATAACAATCAGAGTAATTGACAGTGTGTGCGTGGTCTGCTGCATGCTTCTTCCCGACGCCTGATGAAGGTTGCAGCAGATGGTTAGCTATATGCATTGCATGATGTGGTATTGACGATGGATGGATTAAGTAACAGTCTGGCACAGCTGCATCATTGGCTCCTCAACTTGGTGAGCGACCCACATGTGGCGCGGCACTCACTATATATGCTTACGCTTACGCCTTTGAGATCGACCGTCTGGTCTCTCGCGTGATTGGAATATATATAGATTAGATTCTCTTGTACATGCATTATTCTACAACCGTAATTTAGTGGGAATTATACGTGGAGTCTAGTTAGAAACCTAAACTATACATCGTCCCTGCTAGCTGCCAACTGGATATATAGAGCTCCTGACGATGAAGAAGAATGTACTGTATGTATTATTGTACTATATAATAATGAAGTTAATATCTGCCTTCAGGTAGGAGTAGGGTGTGCACACTGCATGGGAGAGACTTGTGTGTGTGTTCCCCCCATGTATAACAATGCACATGAGGACCGGCAGTAGTGCATAGTACAGGGTACGGTGTATAGGCACAGCCAGGTAAGCATGGCAAAGGACGACGACACGGTGCATGCAGGATGTACGGTATAGCCGTGTAGGTAGCCACGCTAGCACTACTAAAAAAAAAACTTTTGCGAGGCGTTTTGAAATGGGTCTCGGAGGCGGATAGAAATTTCAACCGCCTCAGTTAATGTCTGGGATTAACCGAGGTGGTCGCTTTTTATTAACCGAGGCGGTTACAATCAACGGCCTCGCAAAATCGATTTACGGCCGTCACCTAAAATCTATTAACCTAGGCGGGCCTTATAAGTGGCCTGCCTAAAAAAATATCCCCATTTTCGGAGGCAGACCTCCTAACTTGCCCGCCTTGGAAAAAAGGCCGAGGCCCAAACAGGCCCAGATCGAGGACCGATAAGCGCTCTAAGTATAAATACGTAACCCTAGGGTTTCATTATCACCTCATTCTCTCTTCTCCCGGTCCTCTGACCCAAGCGCGTGACTCAGCGCCGCGTGATGCGCCCCTTCCCTCGCGACTCCTCTGAGCGACGCGGCTCCTCCCCTCCCCGTGCAGCGCCGCCGCCTTCTCCTTCTCACTCGGCTCTTCGGCGCGGCGGGCGCGGCTCTCCTTTGGCAGCGGCGTGGCGGGTGCGGCCCCTCTCCCTCACCCCGGATCCGGCTGGATCCATGTTGGGAGTGCCCCCCGGCGGCTAGATCCGGTGGAGGGCGGCCGGATCCATGGTGGGCATCCACCCCGGCGGATGGATCCGGTGAAGGGCGGCCAGATCCATGGTGGGCGCGCCCTCCAACGGCGGATCCAGCGCCGGCGCACTTCCAGTAGCGGATCTAGGGTGGGCTCGTCCTCCGACGCTGGATCCAGGCGGCGCGGTCTCCGGCGGCGTATCCAACGACGACGGCCGGCGGCGGCGCGTGGATGGGCTCGGCGGGCCTGTCCACGGTTTTTTTTATTAACCAAGACGGGCATCTGAAACGTCTCGGTAAAGATTTTATTAACCGTGACCAATAGACCAAGACGGTTGTGATGCCTGCTTCGATAAATTCATTTTGCCCGTCTCGAAAAAGTTTTTCTGTAGTAGTGTAGCTAGGGCATGCATCAACATTCAGCCACAAATGCAATGCACTCCCATGCATCTCCCCGGCCTCCTGAGTCCTCAGATCGATCCTGACCCGTGCATGCATGATGTGTGTGTGTGATGTACGTGTCGTCGTGTCGACGACGCCAATGATTTCCAGGGTCGCGTCGTTTCAATTTCAATGGTCCAGTAGCTCGCCCGCCCTCGGCACGTACGCACGCACGCACGCATCCTGCAGATTCCTGGGTTCTCTTCTCATCGATCTCTTTGCATTGCGTGCGCGCGGGTTGGACACGCGTACAAGCCATGCCAGGGCATGCAGGGGCCGTGCCTAGCCCGCCACGTACTCGCGCTCCAGCTAGACATCGACCATCCAGGCAGCCAGCTCACCTGCACTGAGCAGGGTGGTGTGGACGTGTGCTGTGCAGCTGCATGTATGCTAGCTAGCATCATGTATAAAGACCAGTAGTGAGTAGTCCATGCTAATAGTATAGTCGTACTGTATTTTATTATATTCGGCATGTTCGCTGGTTGGTTTCTGGGCTGATAAGTCTGACTAATGCTGGTTTGTTGTGAGAGAAAAATATTGTTGGCTGGCTGATAAGCCTAGACTGAAATAAAAGGCGAATAGGCTGATTATATATATATATATATATATATAATACAGGTTGGCCGGCTTGGGCAGGCAGGCCCTGGATTTGTTCCCTTGCGCGCGCCGTGCATGGTACGCCCGTGGAGACGAATAATGGCGGCGGTCCCGTCCCGGACCCCGGACTGGGACTGCCGGACAAGAGCCGCGGCGCCCCGACCGTAGAGACAGACAGCCCCCTCGGCGCCCGGCTGATCCATCGACGATCGATCCGCCGGCAGACCGGCCGGCACAGCGGCCAGGAAACCGTTGGAGTTGGCCACGCGGGTGGATCACAGAGGCACTGTTTGCAGGGTATCGCCGCACAGTTGCGCGCTTTCCCACTTTCCAGCCGGCCGTCCTGCCGCCGTTGTATTACATTACATGTATGATGTACTACCTCCACACCTTAGTAATAAGGTTACTGTTTAGGCCATGTTCGGCCGGCTGAAAAAACGGCTGATGCTAATGCTGATGTTGATTTGTTGTGAGAGAAAAACATTATTATTTCACTGAAATGGTACGGTTGATAAGTTCAAACGAACATATTATAGCTAGTAGAATTAGACTAATTTAAGTTTGACAAGTTTATGAAAAATAGTACCAACTCTAGCTAGTAAACCTGTTTGC